CCGGCCGCCCGCGGGGACCCCAAGGGCCGCCGTAGAGAGCCTGCGGGCGAGGCGGCCGACGCCGGCAGCAGGAAGGGAGCGGGAGACGCGAGTCGAAGGAAGAAGGCCGAGGTGGCGGCGGCGGAGGAGGAGAAGGAGGAGGAGGGGGAGGCAGCGGCCATGGCGACCCCCGCCAAGCCCGGCACGACCGAAGACGCAGCTGCAGAGAGACCACTCCAGGACGAGCCCCCGGCCGCCGGGCCGGGCAAGGGCCGCTTCCTCGTGCGCATCTGTTTCCAGGGAGACGAGAGCGCCTGCCCGACCCGGGATTTCGTGGTGGGCGCGCTCATCCTGCGCTCCATCGGCATGGACCCTGACGACATCTACGCGGTCATCCAGATCCCCGGCAGCCGTGAGTTCGACGTGAGCTTCCGATCCGCCGACAAGCTAGCCCTGTTTCTCCGCGTCTACGAGGAAAAGCGGGAGCTGGAGGACTGCTGGGAGAACTTCGTGGTGCTGGGGCGGAGCAGGTCCAGCTTGAAGACCCTCTTCATCCTCTTCCGGAACGAGACCGTGGATGTGGAGGACATCGTGACCTGGCTCAAGCGCCACTGCGACGTGCTGGCCGTGCCCGTGAAAGTGACCGACAGGTTTGGGATCTGGACCGGGGAGTACAAGTGCGAGATCGAGCTGCGCCAGGGGGAGGGCGGCGTGAGGCACCTGCCCGGGGCCTTCTTCTTGGGAGCCGAGAGGGGCTACAGTTGGTACAAGGGGCAGCCCAAGACGTGCTTCAAATGTGGGTCTCAGACCCACATGAGCGGCACCTGCACGCAGGACAGGTGTTTCAGGTGCGGGGAAGAGGGGCACCTGAGCCCTTATTGCCGGAAGGTCATCGTGTGCAACCTCTGTGGCAAGAGAGGACACGCCTTTGCCCAGTGTCCCAAAGCAGTTCACAATAACGTGGCTGCTCAGCTCAACGGCGTGGCGGGGCACTGAACGCGCGTCTGCCTGCCGGGGTGAACACACAGCCAGCCTACCCTTAAGTGCCAGGACTTTTTTTTTATTTCTAAAAGACCATGTTTATCTTTTTGGAAGGAGATATTTCTAAAACCTAACAGACATTCTCTCTGTGCCTTTTTAAAACCACGTGTGCCCCTTTTCAGCCTGTTTGAAAAGGACTATTCAGAACTGTAGCGTGCAGACATGTCGCCTGTCCGTCCGTGTCCCGTCCCCCCTTTTTTTCCCTCCCGTTTTGCATTTGTTTTGGTCCTTTCGTCGACACCCTGCCCCCCTCTGTACTTTTTACTACCTCTCTCCTCATCCATGTCTCATTGGAAGATTTTTGCCCTTCGGGCCGCCTTGCTCATTTTTATGCCTCAGTCCCGGGTACAGGGCCCAACACGGGACAGGCGTTGGACCAAGTGTTCATTGAATTGAAAATGTCGACTACCCTGTCAAGAGTGCCTGCCGACCTTGTGCAGCTCTCTGCCGGGCTCTTCTCGTTTGCTGCTTCTGTGTGATAGGAAACTTGGTGAAAACAGTGTTGCTGGAAGTGTGTAATCCGAATAAGCTCTGAAAGGTGGCCAGGGGCCTCTCGTGGCACAAAAACCTATCTCCTTTGTGAGAGCTCCTTGTGACTCAGAAGCCATATTTCTGTAGGAGCGTGGAGCCTAGACAGTTCTTCTGGGAAGACCCAAGAGGTGGTTTTTGTTGGATTTTCTTTGGGGGAGCTTGCTTTTTTTGTGTTTTGATTTGAGACAGGGTCTCACTGTGTAGCCCTGACTGGTTTGGTACTGGCAGTATTCCTGGATCAGGCTGGCCTCAAACTTACAGTGATCCTCTCACCTCTGCCTCCCTGAAGGGTGTTTTAAATTAACCCCTTGGTTTTCCAGCAGATGAAATGACCCGGAAGTTAAATGACTGGGCCAAAGTAAACAGCCCTGTGGTGCCTCGGACTGTCCACAGTAGAATCCGCTGCCCCCATGCCTGGTGCTCATCCACTACCTCTCACACTTCACAACAGCCTCCTCGACACTGGTGGGCCAAGGAAGTCTCTCTCCAGGGGGATGGTCCCCTGAGAGAGCAGAAAGAGCAGCCTGTCTTGCCACTTCATAGTAAGGGACCTAGGGGAAGGCCCGGTGAACACACTGCAGGCTGCATGCGTGCATCAGGCCTTGGAGTGAGTGCCACATCTTCAGTGTTCCGCTGCCACTGTCAGCAGTGAGAAATGGTTCCCCTCAGGAAAGAAACCTGCCAGACGTTTACATTTGCACCTCTGCCTCATCTACTAGGAACCCCAGAGAAGCCAGAGAGAAAGAGCTCATCCGAAACCTTCGACTCTGACCCTCAGGAGAAAGGTGCTTTTAACCCAGAATCATGAGTGAGCTGTGAACTCGAAAATGTTCTTGGGGAAACAGGCCAAGACAGAGGGTCAGCTGTTACCAAGCTAAAGTGAAGACAGTCAGCTGCTTTTCTCAGTGTGTGTCTTCTCTTTGCTGTTTTGCTATTTTCTTGTGGCTTAGAATGTAAAACCGGTTGTTCAGATTTGTTCTGAATAAATATTTATCTTTGGTATTACTGTGTCTTTTTTTCGGAAGTGTTAGCAGAAGGTGCATGCCCTCCCAACTGGCTGTCCCTGCAGGACATGGCAGCCTGGCCTTATGCAGTTACCTAAGCCCAGTGCACTGCTCAGCTCACTGCAGAAACTATTTTGTGTGGGCTTTTCCGGTTTGTAGAGTTTTGATTGTGGGTTTTTTCATTTTTTTGAGGCAGGGTTTCTCTGTGTGGCACTGGCTGGCCTTGAACTCAGATCTATCTGCCTCTGCCTCCTGAGTGCTGGGATTAAGGATGTAGTCCACCATGCCTGGCCAGTTTTATTTTCTAAGACAGCCTTACAGCCGGCCTGTAACTCTCAGTCCTGACTGGATCTCCGCAGCGCGCTGAGATTACAGGGGACAGATTGTGTGTATGGGGGGGGGGGGGCGGCTTGCAAGATCCACTGGAAGTACATGAGGGTGAGGCCTGTGGGCTAAGTAGAGGCCAGTCTTTGGACCTGCATCCGGTACTCTGCTGCTGCTAACCCAGTGAAGGGCTTTCAGCTTTGAAGTATTCTGAAGATCTGATGGTAACAAAATAAAGTTCCCAGGGTACAGAGTCTCAGAGTTGATTTTGTGCAACTGATCTGGGGCTGGGACCTAAGAGGCTCTTGGGAATTCGCCTTAAGCAGCTCAGCCCCTCCAGAGTGGCTCCCTCCCCTTCCTCTTCCCCCATCTTCTCTCCCTTTGACAGGGCTTGTAGCCTCTTAGAGAAAGCGGGCTTTCAGCATGCTCCCCACCCCCTTCCTCCCAGCAGGCTGTGTGCCTAGGAGCCGGTGTTTGAAGGAGGCTTCGCTCGGCGCCCCTCCCCCACCCGCTGGAACCCCGGGGAAGAAACAGCTTCCCTGCCCATCCCCCTCAGGATGCGCGCCCGGGCCTTCTGCAGGCGGTGCAGGCCGCAGCTGCAGCACACAAACCTCCCCCAGCTTCCTCTCCCCGTCGGAATCGCAGCCCCCGAGCTGCAATTCCTCAGGGAGGCCGCCAGACCCAGTGCCTGTGTGTGCACGGCTTTTCAGAACCTGTCCCTGCTGCAGACAGGCCCAGCGTGGCACTCGGCAGAGCCACCACCCGCCGGCTCACAAGTCACATCCACCGTCTTCAGATACTTGCAAACAAAACAAAGGCATCTATGGAGAACTGTCTGAAGCAAATAAATGTCTTCCCTAGATGAAGCAAGCTCTTGCCTGAGACCCACACTGCGGAGGGAGACAGGCCAGGGGCCTTGGGAAGAGAAACCCAATAGCAGACTCCGCCTGAGCAGAAAGCACACGGGCTGGGAGACAGCTCAGGGGCAGTGTTTGCCTACCATGCATGCCTGAGGTACAGGCAGAATTCGGGCCAACTAAGGGTCGCAGATGTGGCCAGCGACAAGGCCTGGAGATGACAGGGTTAGAAGGTGGGATCTAAGAACAGTGTTTTTTGTTTCAGGGCTTCCGGTCAAGTCCATTCTGTCCACTTAAACGTTCATAAAGGCCTTTTGGGGAGTACCAGGAACTCAGCAGTGATCTAGTCATACAAGCAGGCAGATACACACAGGGTGAAGCCCCTGTTGAACACGAAAGCCGGATTAGACTGGGTCGGAGAGAACTCCCTACAGAAAATAGCTCAAGTGGGCCGTGTGTAGTGGCCCACGCCTTTAATCCCAGCACTTGGGGAAGGAGAGGCTAGCCTGGTCAACACATAGTTCCAGGACAGCCAGAGCTACATAGTGAGAGCCTATCTTCAAAACAAAAAGGCCTTAAGTGATATGGGGAGGGCAAGAAAGTGTAGGGAGGTGAAGAGGGAGGGCAGAGTGCTGACCTAGGCAAAAACAGCAATTAAAATAAGTACTGGGGAGATTCCAGAAACAGTGAAACCCAGTGCACCGTCCTAGCTGTGTGCACACACCATTGTAGGTATTAAAAATGACGGGCCTGAGCTGGGGGAGCAGTGGCGTCTAGATCCCCACAGAGCTGAGCTGTCAGGAGGGCTGCCAGTTCCCAGAAGACAGGAGGCACCACCTCAAGTTGGAGGCACACTGCTGAAGCTAGCACCCAAGGACAGGCTGCTGGAAGGGAGCACACACTGCTAACTCCACTGGTATGACAGCCAGAAGTCCCATCCCTGCCACGGGTGAGGGGCAGAGCCTGGGCCCTGGTGGCCAGAACCAGCCAATCATCCTGCATAGGACAGCGTAATAAACAGTAGTGTCCAAACTGTGGTGGCACACACCTTTGGTCTCAGCACTTGAGAGGCAGAGGCAGGCGGATCTCTGTGAGTTCGAGGCCAGCCTAGACTACCAAGTGAGTTCCAGGAAAGGCGCAAAGCTACACAGAGAAACCCTGTCTCGAAAAACCAAAAAGAAAAAAGAAAAAAGAAAGAAAGAAAAGCAGAGAAAAGAGATTTATTCAATGTAGCCACTTTGGGAAGAGGGACACAGAGGTCCAGGTCCATCTTGGGGGTCCTAAGGTAAGTTTCGGGTTAAATAGGGGTCAGCATAACTGAGCAGTCCTGGCCATGCTGTGGCGGTGCTCTGAGCGCCAGTGGATCTCACAAGATAGTCTGGCAAGTTGTCAGGACTGTGAGATCTCTGTCCTGAAGACAAGCTCCCATCTGGCTGTCACCACTGGTCAGTCGTTTTCTTTTCCCAGGATAAAACTCGTGAGGAAATGTTCTTGGATTTCACTTTGTTGATAACCTCAGAACCGAAGAAAGGTCGGGAGTATCTCTTTAGAGTATCTTCATTCCTGCCAGGTTGGTCCCAAGGTGATGCACACCTACAGTCCTAGCACTGACACTCGGGAGGCTGAGCCAGGAGGATCAAAACCAGAGACCAGCCTCAAAGTTTTATCTATAATGAGATCAAGACCAGCCTGACAACCTCAACACCAAGGTGGTTCACGCCTAACATTCCCACACTCCAGGGGCTGATGCAGGAGGATGGCAAGTTTGAAGCTGGCCTCTGCTACAAATCAAGATCTGAGAAAGAGAAAGAACCAATTTAAGACTAAAAATGATGAGACAGTGAAGAATTTTAAAGCAAGGAAGTAATATGGGGCACATTCTTGTTTGGGTTTGGGATGTTTTTATTATTTATTCATAGTAGTGAGGCTTGAACACACAGGTTAAGCAAGCCCTCTACCACTGAGCTACAACTTCAAGCCCAGGGATGAGTTAAGTATCCAGTGAAGAGAAAAAGAAAAAGAAAACAAAAATCAAGCCAAAACAAAAACCCTGAAAAGCACTAGAAGCTGAGGTCGGTTTACCTGGTGGGAAATAATGTCTGGAACCTGGAAGGTGGAGATGGACAGAAGAGCAGCAAGATTCAGAGAAACTCGGGGGCTGGGAAGAGAGTTCAGAGTCATTAACATGCTGTACAGACGTGAAGACCTGAATTCAATCAGCAAAGCCCATGTGAAAAAAAGACCAAAGCCAGGTGTGGTGCCAGCATTGGGGAGGTGGCTCAGAGGCAGCCAGCTCAATCACACAAACAAGACCCTCACAAACTGTTCGCACCTAGGAACAACACCCAATGTTATGTTCCGGCTTATGCACATGTACACCCACATCCACATTCAGGAGAGATTTAGGAACCTGGATAAGAGTGTCTCATGTTTGTAATCTCAACAGTTTGGAGTCTGAGGCATGACGACTACCAAAAGCTTGAGGCTCGTCTAGACTAAGAATGGGACTGTCTCAAATCCAAAGGAAGCCATCATAGGAATTCTTCCTCAGCTTCCTGGCCACTGCTGCATAGGCTGCTTTCTCTACCCTGCCCTCCCCACCATGATGGATGGAAACGGTGAGCTAAAATAAATCCGTTCCTTCCGTTCACGGCAGGAATGCTGTCACGGAATGGACAGACGTCTAAGGGGAGGTGTGAGGTGGGGCAGATGCCTTCAACCTCCCAGAAGAGTTCTGAGCCTGAGAAATACAACAGGAGCCACACAGCATTGGCTTTCAGACTTCCGCACACCCACAGAAGTCGCCCGTTCCTCATGGCTCCACCACACCTAAGCATGTGTATTGTCCAAGGCTGTCATGACCCTGGCTCTAGGACTCCACAAGGGCAGGAACCGGCCTCACTGTCTTGTCAATCCATCTTTTTTCTCAAATGGAGTACTGGGGGCTAGCCTGTGCCAGGCTCTGTGTTCAAAATGCTGCCAACCGAGAAGGTCAGGAGGAGGTGGAATTACGGGTAAGTTTTCTTTGAGAGTGGCTCGTCCAGGTTCCTTCCTGGTGGCGGTGCGTATCCCTTCATCCCCCTGCGCCGGGCCCGGGCCTGGGTGCTCTCCTCCAGCCCGCCCTGCCCCCTGCGCAAAGAGCTGGGGGCGGTGTCCATATGAGTTGCTTTTCGAAGCCTTGGTTGCCATGGGGACGGCGGCGCGGGCCTCTGTGGTCCGTAACTCACGCTCCAGGGACCCGACCAATGGACAACAAGCTCCATAACGCAGCTCACCAATCGGCAGGCTCTCTCGACGGAGCGCCCGGCCCTCTGCCCAGGGATGCCACCAATTTATGGCTTCTGTGAAACGGGACTTTTTTTTTTTTTTTTTTTTTTTTTTTAAGGAATTCTTCAAATTAGAAGGAACTGGAGCAAGGCCTCTCTGCCAGTTGCAGCCTGCGTGCTCTTCGGTTTCATTCTGTATTAGAAGATCAAACAATACATGCTGATCTCTACTAAGTAGTTTGAGGCAGTGAACATGTGGGCCACCGGCTTTACGTACCCTGGCTACGCCAGTTTCATAAATGATCGAGAAATCAGTCATCTTTCTTTATTCTTGTTTATTTATTTAGGCATGTCGAGACGGGATTTCACTGGTCATGAATTTAGAGCCATGCTCTTTAGCCTGGCCTCTCAAGAGCTGGGTTCCAGGTCGGATCACTTGGTCTGTCTTTCTTGCTATTTTAAATACAAATTGTAAGCTGGGCACGGTGGTGACAGACTAATGTGAGCTCTTGGGAGGCGAGGGCAGGAAGGCAGGAGATCAAGGGTCTCTCTCTAGGCTGGCCTTCACTAACATGTGACAAGGTGCTGTTCATCAGCCACCTCACCGACCCATGATTGGATTTTTTTCAGCAGTTTCATGAGATGTTGGCCTAATTAGTAGATGGCCTTTATTGAATCCAGCCTAACTCCTGGATCCCAAATATACTAAAACTGAAGAACAACTCTCTTAATCCATGGAAGAAACAAAAGTCTGCTTTGGTTTGCTTTTGAGACAGAATCTGTATAGCCCAGGGCAGCCTTACTCAGAGCAACCGTCCTGCCTCAGTCTCCCAGCACTGGAATTACAGGCATGATTCCTGGCACCTAACTCAGGAAATTTAGATTTTTTTTTCTTACTTTTAATTTCTTCTTTGCTTTTTCTTTCAGGTCTTGTTGCCTTTTGAGTCAGGGTCTCGCTTTAGCCGTGGCTGAGCCCAGACTGGCCTCAAAAGCTTACTACCATCCTGCAGCCTCAGCTTCCCAAGTGCTGGGGTGACAGGCAGGCGCCCCCCAGCCCAGCGAGTCATTCTCATTTTCAAATGAGCCACATAACTGTTTTGACACTCCAAGGCAGTGGTTCTCAGCCTTCCTAAGGCTGTGATTCTTTAATGCAGTTCCTCATGTTATATCGCTACTTCCTAACTGTAATTTTGCTACTGTTATGAACCGTAATGTAAATATCTGATATGCAGGATAGCTGATATTCAACCCCTATGGAGTCTTGACCCACAGGTTGAAAACCACTGCTCTAAAGTCTAAATGAACCTAATGTTTTTAAAAAATCTTTTGCTTATTTGGGGATGTCACTCTGCAAGTAGAAGGCCGACCTAGCATGCACCAAGCTGATTCAGTCCCCAGCACTAAAACAACCGGGTGTTTGCCACTGGGTACACCTCTAATCCCAGCATGCAGGTGGAAGAGGAAGATCAGGAACTCAAGGTCATCTTCAGTTACATATCCAGTTTGAAGATGACTTGAGATGTGTAAAATCTGTTCCCCAAAACAAACAAAACACCTTGTGTCATTTATTAAAAAATTTCTCTCTCTCTCTCTCTCTCTCTCTCTCTCTCTCTCTCTCTCTCTCTCTCTCTGTGTGTGTGTGTGTGTGTGTGTGTGTGTGTGTGTGTCCAAGTACATGCACATGGGGAAGTCAGAGGACAACTTGTGGGAGTCTGGTCTCTCCTTCCATCATGTGGGTCTCAGGAATTGAACACATCTTCAGGCTTGGTGGCGAGCACCTTGCCAGTCTCTTAAAAAATTTAGCTGGGTGTGGTGCTCTATGTCTTTAATCCCAGAACTCTGGAGGCAGAGGCAGATGGATTGCTGTGAGTTCGAGGCCAGCCTGGTCTACACAGAGAGACCTTGTCTCAAAAAGGAAAAAATAAGTAAAAAAAAAAAAAAAGGGTGAGCAGAGACAGATGCAGAGAACAGGAAGTCCCCAGACTGAATTCATATTGTAGACAAGAGCATGGCCATGCTGAAGATGCTAAGGCCTCAGAACCATGAGGAATCCGCAAAGCTGTTACCATATGGGCCAGGCTCAAGAGAACTAGCAACCTTGCTCGGAATTTGAGTGTTTGCGGATGACTGATCGGTCTCTACAATGACTATCAAGTGCAGCTCCCTCCTCCTGAATAGCTTACAGCTTCAGCTGCTCATCTCCACAACCCTCCTGCCCCTGTGTGTTACCTAATAACACTGGGGGTCCAGGTTCGGGTGCTTAGCAAGCACTCACCTGACCCTGGCTTTACTGTACAAGTGTCTGTGTGTCTTACTTCATTCCCTCACCACTCCAGTCAGGGTTCCAGAACCCAAACCACAAGCATCTCGGCAGGAGGCTCAGTAGTTAAGAATACCCGTGGCTCTGACAGAGGACCCTGGTGGGTCATGGCAGCTCATACACACTGTAACTCCAGTTCCAGCGATCTGGCACCCTCTTTTGCCTCTGCAAGCACCAGGCATGCACGTAGTGGGCATGCATCCATGCAGGCAAAACACTCACATACATAAAAATAAAATAAACCTTAAAAAAAAATTTTTGGAGGAGTTTTAGAGTAATAAGGAAATTGTGCATACAAAGTTTCCACCGTCATAGCATCATGTATGTTGGTTTCAGTCAGTTAGCCAATACTTACAGGAGGGAGCAGTCCTGGGTACTGAATCAGGACTGACACATACTGGGCAAGCAAGCCCTCTACAGCTGGGCTGCACTGCCAGCCCTTCTCCTCTTTAAGAGGCAGCTACCCTGGCTGGCTGTGAATTCTCTCTGTACCTTTGAACCTGTGATCTTCCTGCCTCAGCCTGAGGAACTGGCACATACCACCAAGCCTAGTCAAAACTGTTCTTTTCCTATTCCCTGAGCATGCCATGTTGCCTCAGGTTATCTCCTTAGGCTGCTCCTGGCCATGGCATTTTCTCAGACACTCATGTCAACGTTAACGCTCTGTTAATGCTGAATTGGATGGATCACCTCGTTGAAATGGTTCCTGCCAGGTTTCCCCAACATAAAATGACCCTTCCCCTACCTCCTTTCAGGCTGGGAAGACGGCTCAGAGGGGAAGAGCACTTACTGTGCAAGCAGGAGGATCCAAGTCCAGATCTCCAGAATTTACCTAATAGCCTCACACACAGCTCTTGTCCCGGGTGGTGTTGAGCCAATGATCACTGGGGTTTGCTGGCTGCTAGCATATACCAGACTATCTCTGGGGGCAGTGAGAAACTTTTAAAGGAAATAAGCAGGACACTGATATCCTTCTGTGGCCTCTGCTCATGTATGGACTCACACACACATCACACATATCACATGCACACACAAAATGAGACCCAATGTGTAGCTCCTTTTCATTGTGTACTCTGGCAGGAAGTTGTAGCTGGAGTTTTCCTGGTCCTGCCTGGCCCACGGTCAGGACAAATCTCTCTCACTCGCCAGTCCCCCAGTCGCTCAGACCCAAAGGATTAAACACACAGAGACTTATATTGCTTACAGACTGTATGGCCACAGCAGGCTTCTTGTTATCTAGTTCTTATATCCTCAATTAACCCATTTCTATTCATCTATAAGTTGCCACATGGCTCATGGCTTACCGGTATCTTAACATCTTCTCATGGCAACAGCTGGCACCTTTAATCCTGATCACATGACAGGCAGATCTCTGAGTGTTCAAGGATACAGCCAGCATGGAGACACACGTCCTCCATCTCAATACCAACCATAAAAGACCTGGAGGTCTGTAAAGACAGGCAGTGACAAGGAGGTCATGTGGTTGGGTTTACAACCAATGAGAAGGCAGAACAGAAAGTCAATAAAAAGACAGACACACAGGAAGTAGGTCTCTTCCTGAGGGGAATGACGGCATCGACAGTGAAGGGTAAGAAAGGGTTTTTAGTATCAGCTCTTAGCTTACTTACTCTGACCTCTTGGGCTTTTAACTCTGCATTTGGCTCTGTGTTTCTTATTTAATAAGACTTACATCTACATTAAGTCACTATTCTCAGCCTACAATGCACAACAGTGGGGAGCTGGGCTCCATCTCCACTGAGAGTGGACTCTACATCATTGGTTTTTGTTTGTTTGGTTTTGTTTTTCAAGAAAGGGTTTCTCTGTGTAGTTTTGGTTCCTGTCCTGGACCTCAAACCCACAGAGATCCACCTGGCTCTTCCTCCCAAGTGCTGGGATTAAAGGCGTGCGCCACCACTGCTCGGCTCTACATCATTAAGCTTTGTCTTTGCTCAAGATGAGTCTCTTTTTTCTCATAGTCACTTATCAAGTATAACTCACAGGTCCTTATTAACACCTCATGACACAGCCCAACACCAAGCTCTGTTTCCACCACACCCGACTTGATTTTTCAATCTTGCTAATAGCAAAATTATTAACTATTTTTCTTTAATTTTCAACACTTTTATTAATTCCTTGAGAATTTCATACAGTATATTTTGATCATTTTCACTCCCACTCCCCCTTGTGACCCCTTCTAGACCCACTCTGGCTCCCCGCCTCAAGACTCACTCTTTGTTATAAGGTTGAATTCTAATTAACGCAGAGCTGTGTAACCACAATTACAGCCTACGGAAGTTTCACTGCCCTAAAAGAAATTCCATCATCCATTTGTTCAAACCTCTTACCCCGACACATCTTTTTCACTTCCTGCCATGTTTGCATTTTTTTTTTTTTTCGTTTTGTTGCATTCTGATTTGGATTGGGTTTTTTGAGAAAGTGTCTTGTGTAACTAACTCAGGCTGGCTTTGAACTCCATGTGTAGTAGACTTGGCCTTGAATTCCTGATTGTCCCTCCACTACCCAAGTAAGTGCTGGTCTGCATCACTATGTCAATCTTGGTGCTTTTTGGTTTTGTTTTAAAGAAGTAAATAGATACGAAGAGTAGACATACAGTAGAGTATGTTTGTCATTGCTGCTGTGGTAGCTGGCACTTACTGAACCCTCGACAAATCCCGGGACTTGTTTTTTATGTGCCCTTCCTGTTCAGATGAGGGGACAGAATCAAACACACTGAGAAACTCCCTAGAGACTTATGACACTGAACAAAGTTCACCAAGTTCAACTTAAAGGCCTAGACACTTGGTTTTTTCTTTTTATGTGTGTGCACATCTGTATGTGAACCCAAGGTTGCTATCAAGAATCTTCCACCTTATTCTTTGAAGCAGGGCCTCTCAATCAAACCCAGAGCAAGCCAATATGCTGGTCTCTTTGGCCAGCTTGCTCCATGGATCCCTGGCTGCCTACAGGTCGCCATGGCACTCTGTATTTATGTGGGCTCTGGAGACCTAAAATATGGTCTTCTTGTTTGTACAGCAAGCGTCCCTTTAACCACCAAGCAATCTCTCCAGCCTCTGTCATTAAAAAAATGTATTTAGTGTCTATGTGTGCGAATAAGGACATGCGTCTACCACACTGCAGTGTTTGTCCAGAGGTCATAGGACAGCTTGGTGGAGTCACTTCCCACCTTCCCAAGGCTTCTGCGGATTGAACTCAGGTTGCCAAGTACCGGGCCCCATCACTTTAAACAGCATCTTACTCTGTAGCACAGGCTAGCCTCGTATCTGAGGCTATCCTCCTTCCTAAGTCTCCCAAGTGCTGAGATTATCATATCATGCCATTAGGGTTTTTAACACTTTCACATTTCACGAAGTTGTTTTTTGTTTGTTTGTTTTTAATTTATACACACACCCTAAAAGTCCCCACCTTTTAAAATCTGAGGACATCAGACGATATCAGCATTTTATTTTTCCAAATAAAGACAAGGAAAACCTCCATTCTCTGTGTCAGCACTGCCCACAGAAACACACAGCAGGCCACAGTGTGGTTTCCAAGTCTCCAGTGACCACATCAAAAGAGGTGAAGAAGAACCTGGCAGTTCCCTCCGTACTTACAATCCTAACACTGAGGAGGCAAAATGAGACGAGCTAAAGTGAGTGAGACCTTGTTTCAAAGAAGCAGGACCCACATGGCTGTTCACAACTGTCTGTAACTTCAGTTCTTTTAGCCTCTTTGGGTGCCAGGCACATACATTGTGTGCAGACAGACCGGCAGGCAAAACACTCATACACATAAAAATCAATCTAAAAAAAAAAAAAAAAAATGAACTGCAGTCTGCTTTTTATCAAGACTGCAATCTCAGCCCTTGAACCACGCCAGAGATGATCTCTCTCTTACAAGATCAAGCTGATGGTCAAGCTTGAGTTTTAACAGCGTGCTCCTAAGCTCTAAGTTGCTTATAGACTGTCATAGGTAACATTCTACAGGCCAATTAATTCAAAGCACTCCAGTCATCCTACTCTCCAGAAGCCAGAGGCAGCAGCCTGCATTAGTTCTGAGGAAAATTCCTCCCTGCACACATTCGATTCCTGTACAGGCATGTCTCCCTTTGTTATGATCTGAGTCTGCGCTTCCACAGCAGGTTCAGGAGAAACAACGATAACCCGTCGGCTCTGAGACGCAGGAATCTGGTCTTGAGATAGTTCCATCCCGTAATTCCATGTGGCCATTGGAGGCAGTGGTACTTCATTTTTAAAAACAGGTTTTTAATTACATTTAT